TATTTTCCTGAAAGTTCTTCCAGTTTCCCTCAGGTTTAGGCATTCAACCAGGTAGTTCCAAGATGACTTTCTTCTTTACCCCTGTGTGGAAGGAGCATCCCTTGGAAGGCCCATCCAGTCTTGAACACCCCCTGGGGGTGGAGGGCTATAGCTGAAGGGTAGCCTGCCAACTGAGGTCTTGGCGTGCATGTCTTTCTGGTCTCAACACCTGCCTGGTGCTTAAGAGAAGCATGACACAAAACTCTTTTTAACTTATAACTGAGGAAATGGAAGAAATTAAAGAAAGGCAGGATGTTAAAAAGCAGGTTAGTGATACAACACTTTGGCAGAGGTTGACCTGGGTGCAAATGCAGGTGTCAAAACCTCAGGAAATAAACTCCGTGCCTCAGTTATCTCATCTATAAGGTGGTCATGATAATAATAGCATCTACTTCATTAGTTGTTGTGTAGATTATGTCTTAAGCCACCTAACCCTGTACCTGCCACACATGAGGGCCTCAATACATGTTGATTCCCATTCCTTTTTTGTTTCTACCCTATTTCTTAGCTCCCAGGGCAGTTTGAAGAGAAATGGCTTGCAATGAAGAGGACTGATTTCCAGGAGTGAACAGGGTTAATTAACTTTCCCAAGAAGTGTGTTTCTGAAAAGATTGTGTATTGATGAAGCCTTTCAAAATGGAGTCATTTTTAAATAGACAAAAGGAAGTCAGTTTGTGCCAAGTGAATGATCACCCCCTCATGTGTCTGTCTGGAAGTTCTCAGAGTGGACACCTGTACTTGACTTGTCACTACCCTCTCTTTCTGATATCAAAGATTAGGGCCTTGGTAACTCCATTTCCAAAGACAGTACAGTGAAGAAGGTTTATAGCATGCAGGCTGCCTGTGGTACCTTTCCTTGTGAATACATTGAATTCCACTATGGCCTGGGGTCTCTGGGGGATTCAGAGAGCACAGGGCAAGGCTTTGCCTCCATGAAGAGAAGTAAACAAGAGGGGAAGAGTCGTAATACCCAGTGGGCTGAAATTCCTCTGGGAATCCTGGGGATGGAGAGTGAATCCATCTGGGAAACTGCAGATGGTTTCCTGGAAGAAACTGAGGGACAGAGAAGTTTGTGTGCTTTTAGGGTGTTTTCAGATGGCCCAATCCTTAGTATACAGCCTCCTCAATAGAAGTTTATTAAATGAGTAAATCCCTCAAGGTAGTGGAACTAATGAGTACCTCTATCCCCAGTTGCGTCTTTACAGGCTGGGAGTGAGGAGGTTGAAGGCCTACAAAATTGAGCAGGCAGACTGAAAGCTCCCTGAGGGCAGAGACCAGGTTGGTTGTGTTCACTGTCACCATCTTAGAGCTGGGCAGGGTATCTGACGTCCTGTAGGCACTCCATAGGCATTTGTTATGTGAATGCATGAATACTACCCCCGGCTCTGTCCTCGGAACTCTGCCAGCCCGGAAGAGTGGGAAGAGTTGGTGCGGAGGGACGAGCTGTCTAGAGCTGTCAGAAATTCTCACAAGCCATGAGAAGCCAGAAGTCAATTCACCTTCTCATTCAGCCGTTTGTTTGCAAGAGGTTGTAAATCGCCTCTTTACTTGGGTCAGGGGCACCCGGGGACCCCTAAGGCCAAGTCGCATAGAAGGGAGCCCGCCGGCACGTGCAGCCGCCCAGGGGAGGAGGAGGCTGGGCTAACGCAGCCCTTAGTCAGCAGCTGGGCTCGGTTTTGAAACAAAAGCCAATGTCCTCCCTTGGAGTCCGCGGCCGGCCAGCTCCCGGGGGGGAAGAAAGCCATGCTGCCCAGCCGGTTAGTGGCCCAACTTACTTTTCCAGAGCCTGGGACAAAGGACCAGCAGATGTACGGGGCTGGGTGGGATGTTGCGGGTGGGGCGCCGGGGCAGAGATCGCCCAGACCCTCCCCTCCCGGCCGCTTGGAAGAAGGGCCAGGGTCTCCCATGCTCTGCGCATGTTTGTCCCCGGTACCCCGCCTGCGAGCCGGGGCCGCTCGGATTTGCGTAAAGCCGAGGCACCTTTGCAACACGCGCCGGGAGCACAGACACACCAGGCCCTGGATTCATGAATGAAATCCAATCGTGTGGATATAAATAGCCGCGAAGGCTGCTAACGTCACAGAGCGAGCGGCAGCCGCCACGGCGGCGGAGCGAGGTGCCCGGGGGCTCGGTTCCGCCC